TGGACACGTTTGTGTCATTAAAATTAAGTGTGCATGAAAAGTTTAATTTCACAGGAAAGTTTTCTATACGTGTTTCCATAATTTTAAATCGATGCGGAATAGGCCTCGCAAATGCCCGAGTTCACCAGTCACCGCGAGCGAGCAGATGCGCACGGCTGGGGTGGGCTCAGCGCCGTGGGGACATCAGCCAGCAGGCCTTGGACCTTTCCAAGCTTCCCGAACATTGTTTACGATCCGTGGCTCTTGGGCTTAAATATGTAGACTGTAGTTACAGAGATGTAATATTTATTTATGTCGGCGAAACCACTACAGTGTTTTTTCGAACATATGGCCTGTTCGCTAAAATTTGTTAAAAATCACAGCGAATTAATAACCAAAAAAATGACCTGTTCATTTTATTACAAACAAATCTTGGTTAAAAGCATTTAAAAATTAACAGGGTGTTCATTTCTACATATGACACTCAGACATCGCCAGGCTGAGACGGCCAGAGCAGCAGAGTTGGGAGAGGGGGAGGGACAGAATATTATTTGGTATTATCTGTCTGTGACTGAGCCAATAATCAGCTTTTGATTTTTTTTAAACGGCTGTGGGTGCTTAATCCCAAATTTGTATTTAGTTGAAAGTATTAGGGCGTGAGAAGAATAAATCTATGGAGGCTGACATGAAATGCTCTACCCAAAAGAATAATATTTAACTTCAAAAAGATACCGAAATTATGATATTATTTAGAATTTACGATTCAGAGCCATGTTGCACAGATTTGGAGAGCAGTAAAAGATCAGGAGGTTGGAATACAGGATCTTTGAAATAAGATTATTAGTGCTCAGAGAGGATTCAGCCGGGAGAAGAGGTAATTGTTTTTGTATCAACATATGTTCGAATTCCTCAGTGCAAACCCTTACATAGCAGAATATACGTCCTGGACTCGAGCAGTTTTGTTTTCACAGATTTCTGAGGGTTTCAGAGGCCTTGAGTGTACTGTTAAATGTAGTCTATAAATTGCAGAAGACAAAGAGACATTTTCCACCTTGTGGATAAAAAGGCATTTGTGATAAAGTGCATCCAGTGATATTGCTTTAAAAGATGACAATAGTAATAACGCTGATAATAATAAGCTTTTTTATTTATTTTGCATTTATTCTGTGCACGAGCAGTCTTTTAAATGCTTTTCCTTCACCCTGGCTGGTGTGGCTCAGTCGGTTGGGTGGCGTCCTGTGGACCAGAGGCCACCAATTCAATCCTGGGTCAGGGCACAGCCCTGGGTTGCAGGCCCGATGCCCAGTAGGGGGCGCGCAGGAGGCAGCTGGTCCACGTTTCACTCTCACATCCATGTTTCTCTCTTCTCCTTTCCTCTCTCTTTAAAAACCAGTGAACTATTCTTTAAAATAATGAATAAATAAATAAATGTTTTTCCTTCAATTGTGCTTTAATTCTTACAACAACCTATATTTTATTTCTATTTTACATAACAAGGTAAGTGAAACAAAATTCACTTTTTTGGCTTCCAAAAAAGAGACCGATGCCCATTCGTGTCACTCAGGAACCTAAACTTTATATCATTCGTTTGTGTCAATAACAGTTACATATGAGAAGAAAAGTGTAGTATTTTGTTTTAATATTTAGGTATAAAAGGCAACAGTTTTGAGAACATGCTTGATGCAGCCTAATTTTGAAGCTGTTTCTCTTCAGTTGTGAAGCTCTTTTTCTGAAAATCTTGTGGAGTTTAAAAATTTTTTAAAAGCTAAATTTTACTTCGTGAGAAAAGAATACAACTTCGTGATCCTTTGGGTAAGCGAAAAACCCACATATAATCCTGAAGTCTGCTCCGTCTTCTATTTTTGACCAAATTTTTACAAGGAGTCAAAAAAAAAAAAAAAAAAA